AGTTCATTTACCATTTTAGATTGTAAACAGAGCAGAGTCATTTTATACTGAAACAGGGATAGACCCTATTAACACATCTGTTGTATGCTCAACTTAAAATTCTTATGAGATAACGTAGGTTTTAAAGTTACACTTCAGTCAAAAATTAATAAAAAATAACTTTTAGGATTTACATGGGGAGCATAGCTTACCTTCTGAGCTTTTTGGTTTTCCAATCAGACATTGTTGTGTACCAGTCCACCGCAGTCCCATTTGTCTGTTTTTTGATGATCCTGGAATTTACTTGCTGGTGATGATAGGACACCCTCCCGGTTCCCTCTCATTCACATAAAGCCTAGTGTCTTTATTGTTGCCAGTTATTTAGACATTTCTTAGAATTTTGTAACTTTAATACAGTTGCTACATTTACTGGATAACATTAGTAGCCACAGCATACTTACATTTCTTGCCACGAATTGCTATTTCATTATCATAAGTTTTTCTGCACATATGCACTTTTCTATAATATCACATTAACTATGAGTGCCAATACATAAGTCAATATTTGCAAGCAATGCTAGTGATCTGAGCACTGTTTGCAACAATCAAGCAATATAAGGGCTAGCAAAGGAGCAATGATGTGCAATTAGTCATTTGTGGATTTGTCACACTATTCAACCATCTTAGTAAGACATATACCTACATATACCTGGCCACATCAAATAAATTAAAATAACCAACAACTGGCATATTTTATATATTCTACCATATTATCCTTCCATATATCTTTGAACAGTTATCCTAAACCCATATCAGTATTTAGTGGCAGATTTAGTCTTGCAGTGTAACGCAACATGAATACCTTTTACCAAGTCCATAATCTTGTGTTAGAAAAGATGGTGCACTTCTACAAGCAACATTTTAGTGGATCATTATTTACAAGTGGGTAGATTTCAGGCATTGATGACAAACATACTGTACGTCTATAGGTCTTTCCAGAAGTAAAATTGCCCAGAAGGCCCAATAGGATGGCTTTTAGTTTATGTTTAATCTTTTTTATTACGTTTTCAACATAGTAAGGTACAACGTACGTGACAGATCATAGCGACAGATATAGGTCCATGTAATGTTAACTGAGACATACCAATGTGCATGTGAATAGTGTACAATAGGAAACGGCCAACAATAACAGCAGCCCCCTCCCCTGACTTCTCCATCAAGATCAATAATATAACCATCAGTCCCTTCCATCATGCCAGGGTACTAGGTGTAATCCTAGACTCCCTTCTGTCCTTTTAGCCCCAAATCCAATCACTGTCCAAATCTTGTAGACTTCACCTCTGCAATATCTCCAAGATACACCCATTCTTAACCTCTGAAACCACTAAGCAACTTATCTACTCCCTTGTTATATCTCGCCGTGACTATTGTAACTCCCTCCTCATTGGCCTACCTCATCGCAGGCTATCCCCTCTTCAGTCCATCATGAATGCTGCTGCCAGACTCATCCACCTTACTAACTGTTCCATATCTGACATCCCTATCTGCCAATCCCTCCACTGGCTTCCTATTGCCCAACAAATGAAATTCAAAACATTACCAATAACATATAAAACCATTTATAACTCTGCCCGAAATTACATCACCAATCTTGTCTCCAAATATCACCCAAACCGTACTCTCCGCTCCTCGCACAACCTCCTGCTCTCTAGCTCCCTTGTCTCCTCCTACCATGCTCATTTCCAGGACTTCTCCAGAGCCTCCCCCATCCTCTGGAACTCTCTACCCCAATCTATCAGACTATCGCCTACTCTGCCCACTTTTAGGAGATCTATGAAAGCCTATCTCTTCAGGGAAGCCTATCCTCCCTCAGCTAATAATGGAATCTTCTATTCCTCCTACCAGTCCATCCCCCACAGTTATTACCTTTTGTACCACCAGCCCTCGCTCTTAGATTGTAAGCTCCAAGGAGCAGGGCGCTCCTAATCCTCTTGTATTGAACTGTATTGTTGTTGTATTGTCTCCCGTTATATTGTAAAGCACTGAGCAAATAATAATAATAATAATAACAGCATAGTTAGGATACACATTGAAGAGAGGAGGAACAACATCCCACGATGTATTACATAATAAAAGTCACAATCAGTAAGAAAATGCATAGTAACCAGGTGGATAATAGGATTCTTAAAGGTAACTTGTAAAAAGCCAAATGTTCTCATGAGCAAATTGCGGCAGAAACCTCCTTGATGCTTCATGCAGTAGCCCTTTTATGAAAAAAAAGCCAAAGAAAAAAAAGCACAATGGGGGGGGGGGTTAACTAGAATGAAAAAGAACTTCTAAAAAAAAAAAAGAAGGGGGGAAGGAGGAAAGGGAGGGGGTGGAAGACCCTCATGAACAGATCCCAGGGGTACTTTCCCTTCTAACCTTTAGTGGAGATAAAGGAAGTAAAATTGGAGGAGTAATGAAAATGATTCCAAACAGTCCAGGTAAGGCTGTGACCTTCAAATTTATCCTGCTCACTAGCAAGCATACTTTTCACATATTGAATATTGTTCATTTCACAAGCCCAGGCTGCCAGTGATGGAGGTTCAGGCTGACGTCAATTTCTGGCAATAACAGACCAAGCTGCTGTCAAAAAATGTCTGATCAAACTTTGCTTGATGGCTTTTAGTCTATGAAAGGTATTTATCAAATATTACATGATACAAAAAACCCAGCAGATGGAGCAATCAATTGTAAGCCATGTTACATGATACAAAAAACCCAAGCAGATGGGCAATCAATTGTAAGCCATGTTACATGATACTAAAAACCCAGCAGAATGGCAATCAATTGCAAGCCATGTTGCATGATACTAAAAACCCAGCAGAATGGCAATCAATTGCAAGCCATGTTGCATGATACTAAAAACCCAGCAGAATGGGCAATCAATTGCAAGCCATGTTGCATGATACTAAAAAAAACCCAGCAGAATGGCAATCAATTGTAAGCCATGTTACATGATACAAAAAACCCAGCAGAATGGGCAATCAATTGCAAGCCATGTTGCATGATACTAAAAACCCAGCAGAATGGCAATCAATTGCAAGCCATGTTGCATGATACAAAAAACCCAGCGGATGGGGCAATCAATTGCAAGCCATGTTGCATGATACAAAAAAAACCCAGCGGATGGGGCCATCAATTGCAAGCCATGTTGCATGATACAAAAAAAACAGTGGATGGGGCAATCAATTGTAAGCCATGTTACATGATACAAAAAAACCCAGCGGATGGGGCAATTAATTGTAAGCCATGTTACATGATACAAAAAACCCAGCGGATGGAGCAATCAATTGTAAGCCATATTACATGATACAAAAAAACCAAGCAGAATGGGGCAATCAATTGCAAGCCATGTTGCATGATACAAAAAACCCAGAGGATGGGGCAATCAATTGTAAGCCATGTTGCATGATACAAAAAACCCAGCAGATGGGGCAATCAATTGCAAGCCATATTGCATGATACAAAAAACCCAGCGGATGGGGCAATTAATTGTAAGCCATGTTACATGATACAAAAAACCCAGCGGATGGGGCAATTAATTGTAAGCCATATTACATGATACAAAAAACCCAGCGGATGGGGCAATTAATTGTAAGCCATGTTACATGATACAAAAAACCCAGCGGATGGGGCAATTAATTGTAAGCCATGTTACATGATACAAAAAACCCACCGGATGGAGCAATCAATTGTAAGCCATGTTACATGATACAAAAAACCCAAGCAGATGGGGCAATCAATTGCAAGCCATGTTGCATGATACAAAAAACCCAGCAGAATGGGCAATCAATTGCAAGCCATGTTGCATGATACTAAAAACCCAGCAGAATGGGCAATCAATTGCAAGCCATGTTGCATGATACTAAAAACCCAGCGGATGGGGCAATCAATTGCAAGCCATGTTGCATGATACAAAAAACCCAGCGGATGGGCCAATCAATTGCAAGCCATGTTGCATGATACAAAAAAAACAGTGGATGGGGCAATCAATTGTAAGCCATGTTACATGATACAAAAAACCCAGCGGATGGGGCAATTAATTGTAAGCCATATTACATGATACAAAAAAACAGCGGATGGGGCAATTAATTGTAAACCATGTTACATGATACAAAAAACCCAGCAGATGGGACAATCAATTGTAAGCCATGTTACATGATACAAAAAGCCCAGCAGATGGGGCAATCAAGCCAGGCATGTAAAACTACCATAAACATACGGTAGAAGCCTTGAATTTTTTTTTCTTTTTTAGAAGCTTCTGCATATAGAATGCAAAATCAGATATCCAGTGAGTATCAATGGAGGTGACTAGAGCTTGTGGACATCAAATGCTGTAAATGCAGTAGCAGGTTAAGCCCTTAAAAGACTTGGGATTGTTGTGTCAGTAGGCACAGCATACTGCAGCTCATTACTACTACTGGACCTTGAAGAGCAACTCTCTTATACACACTCCAAACCATAATATATTTCAACCTGCTTTAGAAGTAACTGAGGGTAATTGCTGCTTAAAGTGTTACTAAACCAACAACAGTAAAATCAGTCTGTATATGCAGTAAAGCATGCTTGTTATACTCACTGTGGAACCTAAGGGGTTAATCCTCCGCATTGTGTAAAAAGGTTGTTTGATCCTGTCTTCTCTGATCCTCCCCTTCTATTGTCCCCAATCCATCTCCTGATAGAACAGAGCCTTGGGGTTAAGCAGCACATGCTCATTTTGGTGTGTATTGCTAGAGAGTTTTTTTTTTTTTTCTTGGGAGAGTGCATGTGATCAGCACAGGGCCAATCAGCACTGCCCAGACAGAGGTCAGGTGTCTTGCATCCTCCTAAAGCAGAAAGAAAACTCCTCCTACAAGCTTTAGCTAGTGCTCTGCTGGACATTGATAGAAGTCACAAGACTGCTCTAACTGTTGATGAGAAAAGGTATTTAGCAGTTTATATTTGCTAAAATAATTTCATTTCCATGTTTTGTGTACTGTGGGAGACCAGATATAGTGAATGCAGGGTCCTGGGTTTAGTAACACTTTAAAGTAAAACTTAAAGCGATTCCAAGGGTTAATTTTTTTTTGTAAATTAACAAACATGTCTATACTTACCAGCTGTGTGCAGTGGTTTTGCACAGAGCAGCCTGGATCCTCCTCTTCTTGGGTGCCCTGCAGGCTCTTCTGGCTCCTCCTGTCTGTCGGGTGTCCCCACAGCAAACAGATTGCTATGGGGGCACTCACTGCTCCGTGTGTCCATTCAAAGACGGAGCCACTGGCTGTGATTGATAGCAGTGGGAGCCAATGGCTCCCGCTTGCTGTCTCAGTCAGTGAGGAGGCAGTGACCCGGAACAGATTAGGCTGTCATTCACATCGCTGGATCACAACGAGGCTCAGGTAATTATTGATGAGGCTGGGGGCACTGCTGCACACAGAAGGTTTTTAACCTTTATGCATAGAATGCATGAAGGTAAAAAATCTTCAACTTTTACAACCACTTTAAGACAAAATGTTTTTTTCATTTAGGATAGAGTTATTTCCCTGATGTTTTTTTTCTTGGGTTTCTGTGTCCCATTGGGGAGATATCCCCATCACCTACTGACCCATAACCACAATAACAAGTGAGAGGAAATCCCTGGCAATCACCACAGTTACCAGAACCAGTTTCCTTATTGGAAGATTTCCCCTCTATTTCAGTTCTGGTGACCACTCAAGGACAAATAGAGAGGATGAATCTGCCTAACAGGAGCACAGACAGGTTTTTCTGACAAGTATTCTAATGCCTCACATTTGGTGCTATATCCAAAACTGAAAAAAAGTTGTTAGTTTAGTTATATTCTAAAGCAGGGGTGTCAAGCTCAATTTCATGGTGGGCCGCATCAGCATTAAGGTTGCCCTCAAAGGGCCGGTTGTGTCTGTAAGACTAGATGTCCAGAGCGTCCCACCCTCCCTTACATCATAGGGCACCCCCTTGTGCTGCTGCCAGGAAGAAGCTGGAGGCAGAGCTGGGAAGCGCAAATTGCAGGGTCTGGAGGAGGACCAATGGAGGGCTGGAGTCAGCTGCCAGAGTCTACGGGGAAGTGGAGACAAGGAGGAGCTGCGGCTGAACAGAGATGAGCAGGATCTGTAGGAGGTCTGTCCTCCTGTTTTCTGCCAATTGCTGAGACCAGGGGTGGGGGTTGCAGAGATAAGCGTGTGGCTGCATGGAGAAATGCAGGATCTGGTGGAGGAGATCTGTCCTCCTCTCTTCAGCTGACTGCTGAGACAAGGTAGAAACAAGGGGGTGCAAAAGCTGCAGGAGAGGTGTGAGGGCCACATGAAATGGCCTGGAGGACCAGATTTGGCCCTCGGCCTTGGGCTAAAATGTTAGCTGTCTGGCCATCTATGGTATCCATCATTGCATAATCACCAGCATGGAACACCTATCCAGATAAAAAGTTCTGACTTCTAACTGAATTCTCCTGCTGAGACTGCTTGTTCTGAATCTGACTCAGAGACTAGTAAAACCAGAGATGGCCAGGCTAGTATTTTCAGAAGCAGGTCATTGATGACAGCATACATAATTGGTGTCTTTCAAAGAAGATCCAGCTTTTGGTTTTACAAGGTCTAACAGAATTTCACTTGGTGCTCTCCATCAGTTCATATACATGTAGAACCATGAAAATCAGAATGTGCAGTAATGAAGAATTATATTTAAATTATTTATTATCTCCTAGAATCCCATCTTCAGGGCCATCTTTAAATTACTAATCAGGATTGTTTTAGGTGTAGTAAAATATTACCTTACACAACTATTTACTAACATTAGCCAGAATATCTTTAGTTATGACAAACACATGCAAATATGTCTATAAATATTACTAACAACTATTTTATTTCAGTCAACTTGTATTTAGGTTTATTGGCCATATCTTGGATTCTAAAAACTCTGAGTTTCTGAAATGTTTGCAACATCTAAAGACGAGCTGAAAAAGTGACTCAAATCCAGCCAAATACATAGCAAATTACATTCTAAAACGTTTATGGTAAGTAAATCATTTTTATTATAATCTGTTCTTATTGCTAGTTTTATATGCATTACTGAAAGAGAAAGCTAAATAAGTGCCTGTTCAGAAAAGCCAGACTATCAAGGCTTGGTCTATACATGGGATTTTTATAATTTCTTGGCAAGATATTTAAACTCTTGCTCACAATAACCGCTGTTGAAATCAACATATTGAAGTGTGGCAGTAAATGGTGCATTAAAAATATAAATCCTCTTTGCTGCATCTTTAGAATAGTTCCCAACAACCCACACCTTCTGTCGGCATAAATGATAATGCAACAAATCTAAAATGCACTACATTGCAATTTAACCATGTAGAACCACAGATATGAGATTGCAGCCCTAGGCTAGGGCTTTGTGGGTGATTAAATCTCTTTGCTACTGAGACATTTAAAGGAAGTGTATACATATTTTCTTTTAAATATTTATTTTGTTTAGTTTTTGTGTCAGGTAAAAATTAAACATCAATTGTTTAAAAGAAAAAGAAATGTAAATCATATATATATATATATATATATATATACACACTTTATTGCCAAAAGTATTGCGACATCCCTCCAAATCATTGGATTCAGGTGTTTCAGTCACCTCCATGGTCACAGGTGTATAAAATCAGGCACCTAGGCATGCAGGCTGCTTCTACAAACATTTGTGAATGAATGGGTCACTCTCAGGAGCTCAGTGAATTCAAGCGTGGTACTGTGATTGCCACCTGTGCAATAAGTCAAATCTTGAAATTTCCTTGCTACTAAATATTCCACAGTCAACTGTTAGTGGTATTATAACAAAGTGGAAGCAACTGGGAACAACAGCAACTCAACCACAAAGTGGTAGGCCACATAAAATGACAGAACAAGGTCAGTGCATGCTGAAGCATACAGTGCGCAGAAGTCACCAACTGTCTGCAGAGTCAATAGCCAAAAACCTCTAAACTTCATGCGACCTTCAGATTAGCACAGTAGTGCATAGAAGCTTCATGGAATGGTTTCCATGGCCGGACAGCTGCATCCAAGACTTACATCACCAAGTGCAATGCAAAGCATCGGATGCAGTGGTGTAAAGCACACCGCCACTGGACTCTAGAGCAGTGGAGACATGTTCTCCAGAGTGACGACTCATACTTCTCTGTCTGGTAATCTGATGGACGTGTCTGGGTTTGGTGGTTGCCAGGAGAACAGTACTTGTCTGACTGCATTGTGCCAAGTGTAATGTTTGGTGGAGGGAGGATTATGGTGTGGGGTTGTTTTTCAGGGGTTGGGCTTGGCCCCTTAGTTCCAGTGAAGGGAACTCTTGAGGCATCAGCATACCAAGACATTTGGGACAGTTTTTATGCTCCCAAGTTTATAGGAACAGTTTGCGGATGGCCCCTTCCTGTTCCAACATGACTGCATGCCAGTGCACAAAGCAAGGTCCATAAAGACATGGATGAGCGAATTTGGGGTAGAGGAACTTGATTGGCCTCCACAGAGTCCTGACCTCAACCAGATAGAACACCTTTGGGATGAATTAGAGCGGAGAGTGCGAGCCCCTTCTTACAGTGTCCCCCTCTTATCTCCTGATAAGACATATACTGTGGAGTCACTCTGCACATGCTCAGTTTGGTGTGTATTGCTAGAGAGGTTTTTTTATTCTTGGGAGAGTGCATGTGGTAAGCACACGGCCAATCAGCACTGCCCAGACAGAGGTCAGGGGTTCTGTATCCTCCTAGAGCAGAATGAAAACTCCTTCTACAGGTTTTAACATGTGCTCTGCAGGACACTAATAGAAGTCACAAGACTGCTCTAACTGCTGATAAGAAAAGGTATTTAGCAGTTTATATTTACTAAAATAATTGCACTTCCATGTTCTGTGTACTGTGGGAAACCAGATATAGTGAGTGCAGGGTCCTGGGTTTAGTAACACTTTAACCATAAGTGTGAGAAGAACCCCTTTATACTGAAGGTCAGTTGGAAGAATGTCCCAGTGCCTTCCCTTTCAGAGATTATAAAATCATTGCTATCTGTAAGTACTGAGAGATGAGAAAAGAGACTTCATTGGTCCCATACCACAGGCTCTGCAGAGTGGCATTGGTGTTAGAACTATGCAGCAGTCATCAGGCAGGACAATGTAAGATGGGGTTGCTGAATTCGTTTGTTTTTTTTTTAGCCTTTTTCCCTTTAATTTCACCTGATGATGTTGCCAATACCACGCTTCCTATTCTAGAACCGGAAGTGTTTTAGGCTTACAAAACCCATCCCCTTTCTCCAACTCTCCTCATCTCTATAACATGGGGGGATGTGTTCTTTAGTCCATAGAGAGAACTGGCAACAATGTTACTGATAACAGTCAGCAAGGGTAGAGTGCACAGGACAGAGCTGGCTTTCTGGCAGGATCAGTTATTCGTTTGCACTTATGGAACAAACATTAAAACACTATAAGGTATATCTAACAAGATAAAAGGGAGCAAATAGACGTTCATTGTGAGGGCTTACTTACATTTTGGGGTCTGGTTATCGAAGATTTACTGAATACTTGCCCAAAATATTCCCCCAAACACTGAATGGGATTTGTACATCGGTTTCTACCAGCATCCACTCTACTTATTATGCAGGCAACTGATGGGCAAATCTTGTTAAACTGAATGTGATCCAAGTAAATGTCTTTCTAATAGAAAAAGTACAGTAAAGGTTATTTTCGTAATTCTGGTTGAATCTTTGTGGCAATCTGCTGGCAATTGGAGTCTATGGTGCTGAAACTGTAGAAATTGGAGACAGAATGTCATTATTTTTTAATTTATGAAAAAAAAATGGCATGGCCCCTCCTTAAAGTGGTTGTAAAGCTCAATAATGGAAAATTAACAAAGCACATCCCACTATAGAGTGTACTAACATGAATATAAAGCACCAAGACTGGTTCCTGTCTGACCTCTTCTCTCCCTGCTTTGCGCATGACTCACTCCTAATAGATTAAGGTGACAGCTCAGCCTCCTGGGAGATGGCCTGTCCCCACCCCCTCCAGCACTCCAGCACAGATAACTCATACCCTCAGCTCTATGTTTCTTTGAGCCTGTGAAGAGGGGGGTGTCACTTTCTACCAATCAGCTCTCAGATTATAATCAGCTCCATGCTCTAGCTCTGCAGTGTGTGCCATCAGATCCCTGCCCCCTGCTGCTGAGAAAAATCCTTTCATCTGTGCATTATAGAAGGCTGCACAGGACAGATGGGTTCAGATAAATAGATACAACTATTGTTATTTCATCTCTATGTATCATCTAAGGCTAGTCACTTCACTGGGTATATGTTAGGGTTTACAACCCACTTTAAACTAGCAAGCCTGGCATTGGTAAGAATTTAAAAATAAACTCAAAGCACATTAAATAATACTTTTTATTGATAGTTACCTTTTCAGTGTCTACCAAGATGTCCTGACGTGTTTGGCCAGTGTTGGCAAGCCAGCAGAAGGAAGGAGCATATTTGCTCATATTTGGTCTAAAAATAAAATATGGACAATGATGTCATGGGAAAATCCTTCTCCAAGCACCCCCTCCCACAACATACTGAAGGTCATTCAGGCTGATGGCTGGTATCCAAATAGCAGGGGGATTACATAAGATACAGATACCAGAGTGGGACATGCAATTTTTTCATTAAAGAAAAAAGTGAACAATGGAAGCAATGAGCCTACATTAAAAAAAAACAAGTTTAGCAGTCTCATAGCAAAAAATACACAGCTCCAAAGCAAGAATGGGTGAATGTGTGCTGAATTTCAGAATGGTCAATTATGGTTTGACTCTAACTTCACCTGGCAAGTCTTGAGTAAATCTTCTTTGAATGGGTGAAAATGGGCAAAAACCACTGTGATAAATTGCATGAATGTGCAAAGTCTAATCTTGGCCAAAAAACGGTTGAATCTTGGACAAATTGCTCATTGACTCATCAATAAACAGATCCATAAATGTTTCTTCGTAGCAAAGAGATTGCATTGCCACTGCATTAAAACTGCATGCTGCTTGTAATATCCTTTTAAATAGATGTAGAATTATTTGCTAACAGTGACCTTTGTTTCTTCTAATATATATGATGCATTATGGTGCTTACAGTGATGGGACTGTTGAGGCCTTTATCATGTTTGATCTATAAAACTAACGTGACATGTCTTACTTCTAATGTGATTGATCTCATATTTGTCTTTTAATACAAAAAATATTGGTGTTTTACTTTTTTTTGAAATTATTAAAAAAAAACACCACAACGACTCTACAGAATGTTTACTGAATAATTTTCAGGTCGTTCCTATGATTATTTCATTACGTGTATGCCATATCCATAGGTATATTCAAAGTTCTTTGTCAAACCAGGATTCTGGCTGTCTGTGCTGCACGGCTGGTCACTTTACCTTGTGCCAGAGGATGTTACTGTCATCTTGTTTCTCTAATTAATTGCTCTGGATTGTTGATACATGTCCAACTAATACCTGTTCTATCATCAGTTCATCCAGAACACCCAGCTACTTTAGCATCATTTTATTTAACAAGATGTCCTAGTTTCCAGTGCCAAGCCAAGATTTGACATGCATACTTCAAATTCCAAGTCCTTGTTTCCCATTTTTTCTTTTGAAGGCACTGATCTCACAGTGCTTGTTTTGTTGCATTTTTGGACAAATTTCTGCTATAATCAAACTGTGAATAACAGCGTTCCCTGCATTGAAGATAATAAATACTTCCCACTTCTTCATGCTACTGACACTACTAACACTAACACTTTTTAAAGTGTAACTAAAGGAAAAACATATTTAGTTTTAGATAGAGCAAGGGAAGGGTTATAACCCTGTCAGTGTTTTTTTGCTATCTGTGTCTAACTGGGAAGATTTTCCTTCACTTCCTGTCCCATAGCCAAAATAGTAAGTGAGAGGAATCCATCCAAAGTTAGGGACTCCTGGGCAGTGGGGTATGTGGGTTTTGTGCTGCCCTAGGCAACACAAAAATCTGATGCCCCCTTCACTAGGATCCTCATGTCTGTACTCACAATGTCCCTGGATACTTGGATGCCTCCTTCCAAGATCAGCCAGACATGTCTCTTGTGAACTCTCCAGACCAGATCCTCAGTGAAATCTCTTAATTAGTAGCAGAGATTTTCAGCAAGACAGGCCCCCCAACTCTAGCATAGCTGGGGCCTTGATGAGCACATGTAGAATGTCAGCAGGGCTGTCTAGAATGACAGTAGTCCTTCAGGCTTGGCACTTCTCCTGGATAAGAACAGGGCAGCCCAGGACCCCAGATTATTTTTATACTTCCCAGCTGCCTACTGGGCACCCTCCCCCAGGGATTGGCTAAGGCAACATAAATATTCAGGCTGCTAATTTGCCCCTTTCCAAACCACTACATTTTAGAATCCTCCAGAAGGCAGGGAGAAATAATCAACACTGCAGCCAGCGAAGCCCAGAACAGCCCAAAGCAATCACAAGCTTCTCCACTGTTTACAGTGGAGCCCAAAATGACTAAACTTACCTAACATTTTTAGCAACCTACCTTGGAGGGTGCTACATAAAAGTAAAAAACTTACTGGCAGGTTCACCAGGTGAAAATAACAATAAAAAAGCCTATATACAGAAAATGAATGCAGTCACCACATCTAAAAACTGGTAAGTTGCAAAATATTACATATTTGTTTTTGGGTTTAATACTGCTTTAATGGTTCTTCCTGCCAACCCCTACATTACTACAGCACACAGAAATAAAAATGGGGTGTTCGGAGTGCTGCAGGGGACCAGTGAACTGAAAGTGAGCTTTCAGGTGGCAATTTTCTCTTTTTTATGGCAGCATTCAGTGGTGGAGGCTGTGGGAAACGGGAGTATTTCCTCCGCCTTGCAGGTAACACTTTAATTCACAGACTGATTTTATCAACATATTCGCTTTAAAGCAAATATATTGCAATTAAACCTGAACATCTTAGCTGAAGGTATAGTCAAATCGTGACTTTCCTTTAAAGCTTAGTTTGACCCTGCTCCCTCCCACTTCCCAAGACTATTATTATTCCTTAAGTCTGATTATCACACTAAAGCATTATTAGAGAAGCCCAGATTGAACGATGTGGCAAGTATCAATTTTGCAAGAACAGCTGAATATGTTTTAATGTTCTACTCTTCTTTGGAAAAATGGCTGCTTGAAGCTTTCTTTAAAAAGTATTCTTGTTTTTATCATTCCCTAGTTTTAAAAATGTGTTTGGGAATGTCTCCACAGGGATGGCTAGGACTAGAAAATGACATGCTCTTGGGTTTAAGGAGATAGAGAGCCAGCACTCCTTCCTAAAATCAGCCAAGGTGCCACAGTAAGCTGCAGAGCTACCATTTGACTTTGTAGTCCACCATTAAAAAACCTCATAGAAATAATACATGGCTTAATTTATTTTATTACGCAGTCATGTGACTCCTCTCAGCAGCCCCTATCCCTTTCAGCTGTGCTGCCAAATCTACGCACATGTGACCACAGATAGACAAACTGAAAAAATAAAGAAAAAAGTACAGAAAAATGTTATAATCTATTCTATACTATACTGTATATTCTACTCTTTTTCTGTGTCTTTGTTTTTTTGACCTCATAGTGTACCACCAAAAATATACTGTATGCCTATTTGGATCTAGCATTCAGATACTAGAGGCATCTACTTTGTATATCAGTATATGTATATCAGCTAACAGACGGGATCTGTCTCTTATGTTTGGTTACCATTAATTTGTGTGTACTGAAAATAATGGTTGAAATGAATGGACATTTGTCTTTTTTCAGCCAGACTAACTATGTATCTAATACGCAGGGAAGGTTTGCTCACTATTGTTTATCAAAATACATACAGTATATCCATGAATATTTTATGGTGTTCACTCAAGCAATAGTTGCCCTGATCCTTGTTTACTGTCTACAGCTCTTTTGTTGCAATGGCAGGACAGCAGTGTGTGGGTACGGAGTCTG